ATCCTTATTAGGTCAATGGTGTCAAAAAGGGAGCATTCTACGTAAAAAAAAGTGACTTCCTGTTCTGAGGGGGCGGGGCTTTGATGACATCAAAATAGGACCACAGTGGATTGTCGGGAATCCAACAGGGATGAGTAAGGCTAAGCTTTGTGCATTTCGGTTTTTCAATGTGAAAGTTATAGTGTTTGGAAAGTTATGGTGTGAAGCGAAACTTTGAGGTCTGGCCATGCCCCTTTAACATATACGAAAACTCAAGCTTTAGATAACTTTTACTCTCCATTGTCTCAAGGGCATATCAACCAAGTTTGAAGGCAATCCTTCAAAATTTCTAGGAATTTGTTAAAATTCGCAATTCAATATGCCCAAAAATGACCCTTTGACCCAAAATGGCTGACTTTCTGTTGGTTTTTGACCATGGCTCTAAGAGACTATTTCATAGGTCCTGAGAAGATACAGATGTTCACCGAATTTCAGAATAATCTTTCCAAAAATGGCTTGGGGCTGAGGTTTTAAAATATTCTAGGGGGCATTGTGGAGGCTATTGGCCAATTATCATGGATTCCTGTTCAAGGGGTAGATAATGATCGATGATACTGATATTGGTGCACCTCGGTTCAAATGTGTGGAATTTAGAGCCAAACATATGGCGACGGCGTTACGTCTTACTTCGCCACGCCGCGCCACCCACATGCTCCACCCAAAACCGTCAGTGTTGGAAATCAAGTTACACCAACATGTCTCCGGTCACTGTACACACTATCATGCTGATCAGGTAACAGGGGTCAGATAGGGACCATTCAATGTAAAACTTTACAGTTCCTGTGGTCAGGGGGCTTAAGTGATGTCATGATTTGACCATTCGGTCTTGCAGGGGACCGAATGTCGATCAATCACTGAAGGTTTGATGTCCTAGACAGTTTTCGTGTAGGAGCTATTAGCGTTTTGTTTTTCAAGGTGAGATATCAAACTTTGAGGTCTGGCCCTGCCCCTTCAGCATGCTCCAAAATGCACCGTTTAGATAACTTTGTGTCCCCCATGCCTTTTGCCCAAAATGGCCAAGTTTGAAACCGATTGAGCGAAATACCTAGGAGGAGTTTGTTCAAATGCAGAGGCTGTAAACCGCCAAAAAGGTGTGAACTTTGGGACGGCATTCCAAAATGGCCTCCTTCCTGTTTATTATATAACATTGGTGCCAGAGGGTTTTCTGTGCACCTTGGGGAATTGGACAAGCATACCAAATTTCATGCTTCTACGACAAACTAAGGTTAATGCGGAGGGTATTTTGAAAATTCCTAGGTGGCGCTCTTGATCCGTTTCTGTTGCGATTTTTGCCACGCCCTTAAAATACATAATTCTTTACCAGTCTTGATGCGTCCGCCAAATTTGGTGACTTTTGGGATATGTTAAGGCCCCCAAAACGCCAATTCATTTGGCGGAAAAAATTGCAGCTCGGGCCTGAACAGTGATTACAATAGGCCTTTGCAGTGCTTCGCTGCTCGGGCCTAACAAAAACCACAGGGACCATATATGGGAAAAGGCAGGTAAACAAACAGTATGGCAGACTGATGATTGAATGAGGACTGGGAGTTCTTGTAAGCGGGAGAAGTGACAACAAGTGGAGACAGCTTAGAGTCAGGACTGACAGAGTTAATGAGAAGGAAAATGACTCAAGAAGACACTGGAAAAAAAAAAAACAAGTAATCTCTAAACCAGGAAGTATAAGAAGAAACTCAATGAACAAGATAAGATAAACCATCCATCCATCCATTATCTTTACCCGTTTATTCCATTTTGGGTCACGGGGGTCGCTGGTGCCCATGTCCAGCAATCACTGTGCGAGTCGCAAGTCCATCACAGGGCCACATAGAGACAAACGAGACAAACAACCATTCACTCTCTCACTCACACCTAGGGACAATTTAGAGTTACCAATCAGCCTAACATGCATGTTTTTGGTCTGTGGGAGGAAACCGGAGCACCCGGAGAAAACCCACGCATGCACGGAGAGAACATGCAAACTCCACCCAGAAAGGCCCCTGGACCGGGGTTTGAACCAAGGACCTTCTCGCTGAGAGGCAGCAGCTTTACCAGTTGCGCCACCGTGCTGCCAGATAAGATAAACCGAATCCATAATAAAAAAAAAAAAGAAAACTCCAAAATCATCAAACCAAAACACAGAGAACTCATTATTGTGACAGTGCCCTTCCTCAATACTAATAATAAATAAATAAAAAAACACAGGAACAACCCATCTGAACACATAACCTGAAAAAGTCCACCCATTTTTATTCCAAGATTACCCATAAGGCCCTGAGGCTCACATGGTCTCTTGCATTCAAGTCAAACATGTATTTTCAATAATTCAGACTGAAATATACAGTAATAGTAACCAACAGAACTTACTGTTTCAAAAAAAAAAAATGTAATGAAACCAAAATGTAACTTCAGTAATGTAAATTGTCAATGTAAAATATCCATCAATCCATTACCTTTACCTGTTTCTTCCTTTTTGGGTGGCAGAGGTCACTGGTACCCATGCTCAGCAGTCACTGTGTGAGAGGCGGGGGACACCCTGGACAGGTCTCCATCCATCACAGGGACACATAAAGACAAATGAGACAAACAAGCATTCTCTCTCACTCACACCTAGAGACAATTTAGAGTTACCAATCAGCCTAACATTAATGTTTTTGGTCTGTGGGAGGAAACTTTAGTACCTGGAGAAAACCCACACATACACGGAGAGAACATGCAAACTTCACCCTGAAAGGTCCTCGGTCGGGAATTGATGTCAACCTTCTCGCAGAGAGGGAACAGCTATCTGTCACTCCTACAGCCCATCTCACCACTGTCCTGCTGTCCTCATACATGTCCTGTACCAGTCTAACATACTTCGCTGTAACTCCAGATTTCCTCATGCAATACCACACCTCCTGCCTCGGCACCCTGTCATACGCTTTTGCTAAATCCACAAAGACACCATGGAGTTCTTTCTGACCCTCTCTGTACTTCTCTATCAGCATCCTCAAAGCAAAGAAGGCATATGTGGTGGCTGTGACTGAGTGGTTAGAGCAGTCGTCCTCCAATGCGAGAGTTGGGGGTTCGAATCCACCAGCAGTCACATGCCTAAGTGTCCCTGGGCAAGACACTGAACCCCTCAGCCTCCGATGTGTGTCCCATCGGTGTTCGAATGTGATAAAGCTCTGATTAGTCTCTTTAGAATGATTTGTTCAATTAGCTTTGTAGAGATGTAGTAGAGTGCTGTGTGGATGGGTAAATGAGGAAACAGAGTGTAGTGTAAAGTGCTTTGAGTATCTTGAAATAAGATAGGCGCTATATAAGTACAGTCCATTTACCATTTACCATATGTGGTGCTCTTATTTGGCATGAAACGATACTGCTGCTCACGAGTGGTCACTTCTCATCTAAGTCTAGCTTCCACAACTCTCTCCCAGATCTTCAATGTATGACTCATCAACTTAATTCCACTGTAGATGCTACAAGTCTGCGCCCAATCTCCCTCAGGTTTCCTCTTCTACACAGAATGTAGTCGACCTGTGTACTCCTTCCTCCACTCTTATAGGTCACTCACTGTATGTTCCTCCCTCTTTTGGAAATAAGTGTTGACTACAGCCATTTCCATTTTCTTGGTAAATTCCACCACCATCTTTCCTTCCTGGTTTCTTTTTTGACACCAAACCTCCCCATCACTTCCTCATCCTCTCCGTTTCCTTCACCAACATGTCAGTTCAGGTCTGCTCCAATCACCACTCTCTCCTCCCTGGGAATACTCTCTGTCACTTCACACAGATCCTTCCAAAATTTATATTTCTCCTCTACATCACATCTAACCTGTGGAGCATAATCACTGACAACATTTAGCATCAGACTGTCTACTTTTACCTTCAGACACATCACCCTATCTGACACTCTCTTCACCTCTACTACATTCTTTGCCAACTCCTCCTTCAGGACCACCCCTTCTCCATTTCTCTTTCTACCCACACCATGGTAAAACAGTTTAAACCCTGCTCCAATAATGTGAGCCTTGCTGTCCTTCCACTTGGTCTCTTGGACACATAAAACATCTACCTTCCTTCTCTGCATCATGTTAACCAGCTCTCTACTGTTGCCTGTCATTATCCCCACATTTAGAGTTGCAACTCTCAGTCCTACATTCTTGACTTTCCTCTTCTCCCTCTGTCTCCTGACATGTTTCCCTCCTCTTGGTCTTTGTCTATGAGGAAAACATGTTCCTGCCTAAAGATGCAAATTTAAGACAAGATTGTATAATTGTAGTTTCTTGATCTAAAATTTTTCTTGCTCAATTGCAAAGTAATTTACAAAAAACAAGATAAATTAGCCAAAAATAAGAAAGAACTACTTTGAAAATATATATTTTATATAAAACAATTATTAAACTGGCAGCACGGTGGCACAACTGGTAAAGTTGCTGCCTCTCAGCGAGCAGGTCCCCAGTTCAAATCCCGGTCCGAAAGCCTTTCTGGTGGAGTTTGCATGTTCTCTCCATGCATGTGTGGGTTTTCTCCGAGTACTCTGGTTTCCTCCCACAGACCAAAAAAACGCATGTTAGGCTGATTGGTAACTCTAAATTGTCCCTAGGTGTAAGTGAGAGAGTGACTGGTTGTTTGTCTCACTTGTCTCTATGTGTCCATGTGATGAACTGGAGACCTGTCCAGGGTGTACCCCGTCCCTCACACAGTGATTGCTGGACATGGGCACTGACCCAGAATGGAGGAAGTGGGTAAAAGATAATGGATGGATGGATGGATGGAAATATTAAACTAATATTTGAATTAGTACACATGTTACATACATATGTACATATTACATATGTGCTTAGGCCTTCGCTGAAGGCGTAAAAGGCCCAGGAGGATCACCACTACTTCTTTCCCCTGAAGTTTACTTAAAGTGAATATATAATTGTTTAACTATGTACCAGTGAACATTTATTCAACCTCTGCCTTTTCTCTTTGCAGATGGCATGTACTTGTAGCCTGGCTCATCCTGGCATGATGTCAGCAAGCTACAGTGAGGTTGACGCCAACACCACTGGGAACTACGACATGCTTGAGGGAAACCGAGTTAGAAGAGAGACCATGCTGGTTGAACTAGCAATGGAGAGTGACCAAGTGACAGGCCATGTTGGTTCCAGGGCTTACAGCAGTGTCTGGATCGACACACATGCCATTGACATGTACTCCAGGGTCATCTTTCCTGGATCTTACATCCTCTTCAATATTATCTACTGGTCTATCTATTCCTAAAGCAGCGGAGTCTCACACGCAGGGGTCTTGTGCATCCATCCATCCACCCATCTATCCATTATCTTTACCCACTTCTTCATATTTGGATTGTGGGGGTCACTGGTGCCCATCATTGTGCGAGAAGCGGGGTACACCCTGGACAGGTCTCGAGTCCATCACAGGGACACATAGAGACAAACCAGACAAACAACCGTTTACTCTCTCTCTCACACACCAAGGGACAATTTAGAGTTACAAATCAGCTGAACATGCATGTTTTTGGTCTGTGGGAGGAAACCAGAGTATCTGAAGAAAACCCATGCATGCAAGGAAAGAACATGCAAACTCCACCCAGAAAGGTGCCCGGCTGAGATTTGAACTGGCGACCTTCTCACTGAGAGGCAACAATTCTACCAACTGTGCCACTGTCCTGCCCGGTCTTGTGCTTATCTTGTGTTATCTCACTGGGCTGCAGATGTTGCAGACCAGTTGGTAAACAGCATTAGTGTCCTCACAGGGAACCTGTCCAGGTCTAACCCTGCCAATGATAAATATTAATAAAAAACACTGATACTGATTGGCTTAGCTTTGGTTAAAAAATATGATCCACCAGACTGAATCAGAAATGTAATGGTGGATATGAAGGAGGCCAAGGTGGACAACAAAATGTGCAGGGTCTAGAATACAGTAAGGTAAGACATGCACTGATTTTCTAAAACTGGCCATGCTAACTCAACCACATGACTTGTTGAGCTGTTAGTTACAAATACTCAGAACTCAGAGACTATAGCTCACAATTTATAATTGTCAACAATTCTCCAACAGTCACAACCAAGTGAGATACTACTATTAACATTTTTATGTAAATACAGTATACATTGAATATTTGCACAGTGATTGAGTTTCTTTTATATACTGCATATGAATCAGACATCTTGGGAAAACCATACACTGTATCAAAAAGAAAGATGGTCAAAGAAGGACAGTGGGGAAGAACACTTAAAACAGATTTACAACCAGTTTTCTTGGTGATAGACTAGGTTCATGTCTTTAATACAGTTCAGTTTAATTAAATAATTCCAAATCAGAGTAAAAGTCATCTCAGGACACTATCTAAAAGAGAAAAAATACGAGTCTAAACAATAAATAGTGCATTTGCAGAGCATCTTTTCTTTGAACTTGGTGAGGTTTATCATGTTTAACAATGTTTTTTTTTCATTCAAACACAGCATCCTGGCAATATTCTGCCAGTGACTTTGTGTTCATTGTGTTGTCCAAAAACACATCAGCTGATCTCAGAGCTGTGGAAGGAACATGCAATCATTAGTGGGCATAGCTATGTTTCCTTTGAGGCACCTTTAAGTCTTTATCAGTGTGCACAGACCTGTAGATAAAACTGGAACATCTAAGTACCAATGGTTACAACTCACGGTAACATTATGGTTTCTCTGCTGATTTTTTACAGTATTCATAATGAATGTTACAAATCCTCCAGTTGTTAGTGTTAGTGTGTTTTTAAAATAAATTTAATCTTTCAGGAAAGTCCTCAAACACGTAGATTTTTCTTTTTTCCTTTTTTCCCCCATACGTATCTGTATCTGGAAAACAACAGAAGCAAAATCCAGACTTTTTCAGGCTTTTCAAAACTACACAGGAACCTTGTAACCAATCATTATTCTCTCTACAACACTATTTGTGAAGGCTACAGGGAAAAAGTAAAATGTGTGAAAGATAATAACAATAAAAATAATAATAATAAATTCATATAATAACAATAACAGATATACAGGGAGAATAACAAGATAGTAGCAATAAGTGCTATGTGTCATGAGTGTATGTTTCTATACAATTATGAAATTAGTTCTCTGCATTTAACCCATCACACGTGGGATACACCCAGGTGGAGCAGTGGGCAGCTATGTAAGCGCCCAGGGAGCAACTGGGGATCTTGCTCAAGGACGCCATGACGTAGGCATGGTAGGGAGTCAAATCTGTGACTTACCTGTCCCAAGTCTGCTGCCCTACTTTTACACCATCTTAGCCCGATCTCTGAAATACAACATTTTTATTTTATGTAAAGCATCTGCTTCTGTAAGTGAAGCAAATACAGTAAAGTAGAAAGTAGTGCTTTCAGATTCAAGGCTTTATGCCAACAAGTCTGATGGATTCTGTACAAGAGCTCTTTGATCAAAGATGATTCCAGTAGTCTACGTCCCACCCTCCCAACACCTACTTTGTTTTGCTGTCCCAAGTTAAGTTTGGCAGAGCCACCAAATGGGACTGAAAGGATGTGCCCTCGTTAGCCATTTTATTAGGTCCACGTGGCTAGTTCCAGGTTAGACCCCTCTATCTTCAGAAATGATTTGACCCTCAGAAGATATTTTAACTTTATGACATCAAGTGTTCCTTTGATGAAAAATCAACCACCTTACATCACTGCCTAAAAATAAAAAAATAAATAAAAAAATCTATATTTTTGTCCATAAACAATCGTGCAGGAGCTAAATCAGCTTAAACTAAATTTTCAAAATTAGATAACTTTTTATTTTAGTGAATAGAAAATTCCAGTCTGAAGTCTGGGAAGACCATCTAGTCTACTGGTTTCTCCAGATTCAGCTGCTGATAATGAAGCCTTATCAAACTTGCACAAATTGGTCAGTGTCTGGACATGGATGTTTTTTAATTATTAATTTATTATTATTATTTTCCATGAATCTCTACATGTTCACAATACCAAGGTGTGTTTCATTTTTCATCTTTACTGAATTGGGTAGACCACTGAGCTGCAGCAGTCTGTTCACCGCTCGTGCCATGTTTTTGGTTGAGGTAGCAGGAGTCAACCATAGTTTGTTCAGGAGAGACCCATTCTTCAGCCTGCTGTTTGTACCAAATGTATACTTGTGCACAACACAAGTGTATTTTTGGTCTTTACATCTGATTGAAAACATTTTTGCCAAATGAGATGAGAGACGGGACTCTACAGCAATGTCCAGCTGGAAATGATGCACCTCTTCCAGGTAAGTTCCAACCCCTGGCAGTGATTTTTACAGCGTCCCTCAATTATAAAAGCAGAGCATCATCTGGTGGTCTAATATAAATATCAAACACAGAGAGATGAAAGTCAGAAAGAATTGCATTGTTTTATGACATCATAAATATGGGATCAAGAAATATGTTGATAATGGATTTCACTATCATTGATTTTTTTTCCCCTCAGGATCATAAGAGGGCAATAAAGTGACTGGAGATTTTGGGAGAATTTAAAACAACTCAGACAAAGTTATTAAGTAAAGTGTCATGTGTTGTCATCATTGCATGTTCCCATACAATGACAAAATTAGTTATCTGCATTTAACCCATCACACTTGAGATGTACCCAGGTGGAGCAGTGGGCAGCTATGTGGGTGCCTGGGGGGCAACTGGGGATTGGGTGTCTTGCTCAGGGACACCACGGCATGTGGGCATGGTGGGGAGTTAAGCCATGGTTTTCTGGTCCCAGGTTGGCTGCCCTGCCTCTACCCCATCTCAGACCGTCAGAAAATACAGTTAGAAAATAATGTAATATGGTATATAGACTAGAGAATAGGAAATATTAAGTGGATTTTTAAGCTTTTTCAGGATGTTCATGTTTAATGAGAAGACCAAAAATCATTAAAAACACAAACAAAACAAGTGTGTCTGATTTTTCCTCATAAGGCCTTCCAAAGATCAATTCTTTGTGGCAGGAATTCAACAAAGTGCTGGAAACAATGCTCAGAAATTCTGGTTCATATTGATATGATGCTGTCACATATCTGCTGCAGATTTTTCAGCTTCATGTCCACTCTGTGTCTCCCATTCCAGCAGTTCTCAAAGGTGCACAGTTGGATTATGATCCAGTGATTGTAGAGGTCACTGGAGTTCAGGGAATCCTCACTAAGCTGCACTAAGCACTACGAAAACGTTTTTCTAATTGCTTACTGATTAATTAAGTGGCGGTTAGTGGTTAACACTGTTTCCTCACAGCACAAAGGTCCGAGTTCAGTCCCTGGTTTGGACCTGGTGTCATTCTATGTGAACTTTGCATGTTCTCCTTATGTTTGCGAGGGTTTTCTCTGAGTACTCCAGTTTCCTCCCACAGTACAAAAACATGCATTTTAGTCTGCCTTCAGGCACAGGCCTCCTTTGCACTAGAGACCTGTGATCTCTGTGTGGCGTTCCTGGTTAAACAACCAGTACACTAATGTCCTCTGTCACTGTAATTTCAATGGTGATTAAAGCTGCAAGCAGCAGTGGAGGCCCTCACAGCAAAGCGCCGCTCCAGCCTTACTGTGACCACGGGAACTCCAGCGACTCCACCCAGTCGCCATCGCAAACGCTGGCATGCCTATCCCACACTCGTTCACTAGGGTGCGCATTTGCCAAATCTTTGACATCACCTGCGACCGCAGGAGCGCCAGCAACGCCTCCCAGTTGCCATTGTGAATGCTCTCATGCCATTACCGCATGCGTCCACTAGGGTGCGCATATGCCGAATCTTTGAAATCATCTTCCGCCCATATCAGTAAGAGTCCAGCTGCAAGCCATACAAGTTTGGCTAAAATCTGTCCGTCCAGACAGGAGTTATTGTCACTTCCTGTTTTCTAGCGAATGTAAAGGATTTCCTTTAAGCTTTTCAACATGTCATATGTGGTAATCAGCAGTTAGTGAATACAGTTTTAGTTTTATATCTTACACAGTGCCAAGCTGAAGAGACACCCAATAATCATCAGTTTCTTCTCTGAGTGGGCCGGGCTTAAGTCAAGTCATGAATCAACAATACCAATGTGTCTATAAGTGCTCAATGATTAAGCACCAAAAATCTGGTGTAGATCAGATGATGAATCGCTGAGATATAACTGTTGGAATAATATAGGGGACGCACTGGAGTAAAATGTTAAATAACAAAATCAGTTTGTCTAGAAGTGCTCCTTGATCACGCACATTAAATCTTGCGCAGATCGAACGATGTATCACTGAGATATAAGAGTTTGAATAATGTAGGGAGCACACTGGAGTGAAAAGTTAAACAACAATATCAATGTGTCTAGAAGTGTTCACTGATGA